TATTGCTTCCCTAAATACACAATGTACGCACTCACATAGTATATATATATATATATATATATATATATATATATATATATATATATATATATATATATATATATATATATATATATATTGAATACTCTGAGTCACTGACGTGTTTATTCTAAAATAAACACGTAAAAAATTCATCTTTTCTCTGATAGCTCGGGAGAATAATCTCCGACTGATGCCAAATCGGTTGGATTTCGATCCTGGCTTGAGGCAATCGGATGTCTAGCCACACTGATGAGCGAATCTGTCTGTGCGTGGATGACACACACACACATATATATATATATATTTCATTAAAGTCGACATTCAAGGCACTGCATTTTATTTAATTTTTCTTGACATCGAACAAGTATTTTTTTTCTGGACACAGAGTGTGTAGAAACTGGTCAACATTATTTACGAGTTCAAATGCCCCTTAAGGAACTGTGTTTCTGATCAAACCGAACTCTTAAATAATTACATCGGTCACACTACTGCATGTCTATCAAGACGACTTACGCTACCCCTATCCGACCACAGCTTCATCAGAACCCATTTAAATACACAAACAAACTTACCAGATTCCACCCGAAACATACTAGTAGGAAATAAAAAAACATAATAACCTCGTCCGCATGTAAAAAAGATTAAATTAATAATAAAAAAGAAAAAGCCAACATTCATTAATATTAACTACAAACACGACCACAATGTGCTGATTGTGTTCGGAAAATAAAACATCCTTATAACTCTAGATACATACACACAACCCATACGTACATAAAAATAAAATCATCCTTGATAATGGCTAAAAGTATAGCTGAAAGCGCTCGGATTACAGAACATTTGTACAGTTTCTGCACTCTGTGTCCAGAAAAGGAAACACTTGTTCGCACATAATAAAAATTACAGAAAAAAGATTAATCACAGTGCCTTGTCTGTCGTCTTTAATGAAACATGTATAAATGAGGGATTGCTGCCTAAATACACTATATGCGTGTGTGTGTGCGCGTGCGTGTAACGGTATCTGTGGGGTTCTGTACATTGTATATTTATGAGTATATGGAAGAGCGTGCACGTAGAATTGAAGGGCCACGTGTTCATCAGCGGATAGTACGAGCGTCAGGCAGCCGAATAGTTAACTCGTTGTCTGGATATGGCCAGCGGTGACAGTGAACAGTCAAACAATACGGCTGACTGTCCACCCCCGGACAGGGATCGGCCCAATTACAACTTTCTTAACTGCTCTCCATTGTTCCAGGGAATAACGGGTCGTCATAAATTTCCTCTTCGTAGAATCTAACTTTTGATTGCCATTTATCTTTTCTCTTTTGTGTTCGCTGATTCCTTTATTCTTGTTTCATTTCGAAAAGGGCAAGTCGGGAGCGAAAAGCTGTTTATGTAAATAGGGCACTAATCGGCAATAGAGGAAATGAGGGAAAAGGAGTGTTTTAATTATCTTGTTAGCGTAGAGACAATCTTTGATAATTATTGCTCAGAACACGAGTCCGTAAATAATGAAAAAAAAAAACAAACAAAAACAAAAAAAAAACCCCCCCCAAAAAAAAGAAACAAAAAACAAACAAACAAAGTAATAAAACAAAAAAACCAAAACAAACTGAAAAACGTTCGTGGTAGTCTCTAGAGTTGTTTTAGATTGGATAAAGTCGAATTATAACTGAAATCAGATAATTTTTTTTTTACTATTTTCTCACTCAGTACAAGGCTCAAGAGCCACTCAAACTAGAGGTGTGCCGAATATCGTTGTTGTATGAAAGTAAGAGAAGGAAGTAAGTGTAGATTATAAGAATACGTAGGTACTTATAATTAATATCAGGAAGTGAAAGTTGAAATTTCTAGGGAATCTAATGAGGAAAATGGATTGGAAATTTGATAGTCTCAGGAAAGATTGAAGGCAAGAATGACAATGGAAAGTGACACATAAACTACCTAGTAAGCTTAAGTAAATGGGTAACAGAACAAAGTTTAAGAGTGATAAAAAAAGACAAAATTTATTAAGATTTACAAAGGGAAATGGAAACAAAAAGGAAACATACTTAAAAACAAATAGAAACAGTTGAAATTTCTTTCATACATAATGAGGAGGGCGTGAAGAATTTGACTCTCAAAGGCATATAGAAGACAGAAGGGACATAGGGTAACGGCAAGTAACCTACCTAACAAGATTGTGTAAATGGTTGGCAGAACAGAGAGAAGAAGGGATAGTAAAAAGATTGCTAAGAGTTACAAAGGATAGGGACTAGTGTAGAACCATGATCGGCCCCGCTCTAAAGAGACACAGTACATAAAAAAGAAAAAGCCGTTTGCAGTACTAAAGAATGAAACGGCATCGTTCTCATTTTCCCTTAACATACTTTCGGAAGATATTTAATATTTACTAACATTAACTACTATTTAATAGTAAAAGTTTGGTATTTTAGTTTGCTAAATGTTGCGCAACAGCGTGCCACCAAATTAATACCTAGCGACTTCACTACTGCGGTTGTTATTTTCAATCTCGGGGAAATGACTGCTAAAATATCATCTTTCCAAATATATAAACAAATCCTACAGGTGCTTGCTGGAATTTCTCACTAGTCAATAAAATGAACAATTCACGGTCTCATGCATTTTATCTTTCTTGTCTTGAAAGGTTAAGGAAAATTGGTAAAATTCTCAATAACAATTATAACAGGAAAAAACAGGATAATATAATGCAAGACAAGACAATATAATGTAAGGCAAAGCAAAGCAGCTATAAGACAGTAACAAAGTAAACATTTCACAAAATGGAAATAGGGTTCACGTGAAAAGGGATACAATCAAGTGGTTAAGCTGATAACATTATTAACAAGTTTTCTGAATTGCTTTAAAGGATTTGCGATGTTTACTTTATGATTTCAGTATTTCTATAGTTACTGAGAAAATGAAATATAGTGAAATATCTAGAATAGGAGTCAAACGCTCGTGTGCTAAATGAAAATAGATGGCTCGTAAATAACAAAGGAACTATTTTAGATCATTTGAAACCAAACAATATTATAGCATCTCGTGTGGAATGCAAGTACATAAAAAGTCGAAATCATTTGTGAATATATATTCAGAAAACATTCAACAAACTTAATGAACAAATATTAAGTTTATAATTTCCCTCATGCGCAAATGGCCCCTGTTCTCGACTAGCGTGAAACTTTGTTAATTGCAGCAAAGGAAGTGTTAAATTTTGCTTATAGTTCATCACAATACAATTATGGTTACTGTTCTTAATAACTTTACTTCGTCACATACTTCTATTAATAATAATATAAAACAAACTTGCGCAAAAAAAAAAAAAAAAAAAAAAAAAACGAAAGCCCAACAATATGGCGGCAGTCTTACACTAGTAGCTGGAATAAGTCACAAAATACACCGAACCCAACAAAAATCAGAAAATACACCTAGCCCCACAAAATACATCCAGACTGACACTTATTCAAAGCAAGAAAACAGGATACGTTAATCGGAATAATGAGAAAAAAGAAAGAATCTATCTGAACATGAACATGTACCGGCAGATCACAGAGTGAATGTGAAAGAGTGGGAGAGCATACTAGGACCTAGCTCGGAAGCTGAGTAAGATAAGGAATATGAAGTTTGGAATTATGCCCTCAAAAGTTGGTTCACGTCGAATTGTGCAAGAAAATTGGAAATCAGATTAGATACGTTGGAAATCCGAAGAAGGTATGAGATTGTACAAACCCAGACATTGATGGCATCTGTAAGGATAGTGATGCGGGTGCTAGAGATGTGAAGAGATTTGCTGTCACACAGACTTCAGTGATTATCACCACTGGTGGAAACATGCAAACGCATGAATACTACTACTACTACTACTACTACTACTACTACTACTACTACTACTACTACTACTAGTAATAGTAGTAATAGTAGTTTTAATAATAAATTGCCATGAGCAATAATAATAATAATAATGTGCGATCATGCAGATAAATGGTATTTGTGAAAATGAGCGAATGCTTCAAAAAATAATTTTAAAAATGGTTTTTTTTTTTTTGCTGAGTGTTTACCCAATACAAGGCACAAGGATCACTCAAGGTAGAGGGTTAGTGATTGAGATTGTAAGGGAGGACGAAGGGTGAAAAATAAGTAAGAGAGTATTATGAGAACAAGTAGGATATACATCGGCTGATCATGGACTTAAAGGGACCAAGATTGTAGTTGTCAGGGAAGCGTTTGCTCCAGAAAGTAACAGTTCTTGGGAAGAAGCTATTTAGTGGAACTTACTTTTTATCAAAGGAACAGGAAGGGAAGGGGAACGGTTTGCCACCGTGAATATGGCATAACGGGTGTTAGCTTTGAAGTTCCGAGCTGGTGTTACTAAGGAATGCAAATCGTTCAAACATCTGCCATAGTAATAGCGGTAAAAGAGTGAAAAGCTGACGTCGTTTTGTCAGTGGGATATGAGTTGTAGAGTGGAGAATAATTCATCACCCACAGAGATGCATAAGCGCTTTTGAACTGTTGAGGCAGGATAGTGAGGACTGTGTAGCGCCAGCCCAGATATGACATCAGTACTCTATTCTTGGTCTAATCTGACTCTTATAAAGATAGAGCATGGCAAAAGGAGTTTGATATTTTCTGGAGCGATGCAATGAATCCATCATTCTTTCAGCATCTTTTGTGATGGCACCAAATATACGCTTTCTATTTGAGGTCGAGAGTTAGCTTTAGCCCTTTGACGGTAATGATCGCTCACCAGGATTGATGCAGGTTTAGGGTGGGCTCGGTGGTGATGAAATGTTACGAGTTTAATTTTGAATTTATTGAATGATAGCCAGTCTTTTCGCCATTGACCTGTGAGTGTTAGGTCAGAGGTGAGATCAGTTAATAGACACTGATCATCAAGATATTTGGAGGTACACTGCGATATCATCTGCATATATATTTACTAAATGTTGGACGTAACTTTGGACTGCAGATTGAACGTGGAAGACAGTAAGAATTTAAAGAAATACCAGGACCTTGTCTGAGATCTAGAAAAAAAAAACATAAAATATAACATTTTGAATCGTATTTATAAGGCGTGGAACCGTGTAAAAAAAAAACAAAAAAAAAAACAGTGAAATCCAGGTGGGATGAGTTGGGCATTTGGTGAAAAGGTTGAAACTGTATACACCATGGATTTGATAGGGTCTAAGAGGATGTTGAGAATGGTGCTGAAAATCTGAGGACATTTGCTGTCACTCGGTGAAACATGCAAATACATGAATAATAATAATAATAATAATAACAATAATAATAATAATAATAATAATAATAAGACAGCAAGGACGAATGCAACCGACCAGATACAGAAGCGATGGCAAGATAAACCGCTTCATGGCCAATACTCTGCCCGTACCAAACAAGCTGACGTAGACAAAACCCGTACCCATCAGTGGCTACGTAGTGCAGGATTGAAAGCTGAAACTGAAGGTTTTATCCTTGCTGCGCAGGACCAATGCTTGCTAACTAGGAATTATCAAGCACATATACTAAAATATTGTGTCAGCCCAAAATGCAGATAAATATCCAGAAACGATTGATCATCTTGTATCAGGTTGCACGATGTTGGCACCCACTGAATATAAAACCTGACATGACAGAGTGGGCCAATATCTGCACAGGAAAATCTGCAACTTCTACGGGAAGGAAACTGAAAGAAACTGGTATGAACACCACCCAGATCCGGTTACGGAGATAGGACCTGTTATTATGGGACTACACAATACACACTGACAGAACAATCAAAGCCAACCGCCCAGATATTGTTATTAAAGACCACAAACAAAAACGATATTGATATGGCAGTCCCTGCTGACTGCAATGTATCTCTGAAGATATTCAAAAAGATGTCAAAATACAAGGACCTTGAAATAGAAATCTCGAAAATGTGGCATATGGGAACATCAACAATCGCTGTTGTAGTTGGAGCCCTAGGACTGGTTGGAAAAGATTGCAGTAGACTAATTGAAGGGATTCCTGGAAGTCCATGCCTCAAGGAGATACAAAAAATTGTTCTGACAAGTACAGCCCACACTTTACGAAGGGCTTTATCTATGTAATTTCCTTTTTTTTTTGTCAGTCGAAAGTGTCATGCTGCCATTTCTAACCTTAGGTCCCTGGGCGGGTCTCGGAAAGAAATGTGTAAACACCAGAAATCAAATAGAATAAAAATAATAATAATAATAATAATAATAATAATAATAATAATAATAATAATAATAAATTGTACTCACAAGTACAGCCCACACGTTACAAAGGACATTATCTATATACAATATGTGCGAATATAGTAGGATATTTTTTCTTTTTTTTTTTTCAAAACTGCTCAGCGGAAAATATCATGATGCCATTTCTGACCTTAGGTCTCTGGTCGGGACCCGGAAAGAAATGAGTATATACCAGAAACCAAAAGAAATAAAACAACAATAATAATAGCTTACCCGGTGACATTTTATTGGCATTCAGTTTAATAATAATAATAATAATAATAACGCGGTCACAGCGGTAATAATTACAGTATTTCTTACAGCTGCAACATATAATAATGCTTATACTAATATTAAGAATTGTAATTAGTCATTTTTATATGTGTTTTCTCTATTTTGTCTGAAGCCGGAAAGCATAAAGTATGTTTATCAATTCGATGAATGTATTGTGTACTTTTTCTTTAAGATCAGCTTTTTAAATCTTTATTTCCAAAAATATTACATTCTGAGCATGTTACGAAAAAGAAATTCAAATAAAACGCAGACGTTTTCTATAAATATGCATGACACTGTCTGGCTTGTCGGAAAAATACCAAATTGATGTTTTATACAATTTTAGAAAGAAAAATTACATTTGCTTACATTTAGTTGCATGAATAATGGCAATGAAGGCTATAATTCAGCATAATAGGCACGACGCAAACAGTAAAACGTAACGTTGTATACAGCGCATTCTTATTTTTACGAAAAAATATGAATAAAGTAATCATTATTATTCTTTGACTTGTCTTTTTTTTCATCTTATTTTTGATACAATATATTGTAACTCTCATATTGTCCGAGGCATAAAGAGCGAAACAAGAAAAGTGATGACATTAATTCGAATAATTAGAAGAATAATGACATAATCCAGCCTCAAAACTTAATAGGACTTTTTCTAAGGAAAATAAAAACACGTCTCATATAATTATGTACATGCGTATATAAATTTATGAAAATTGAGCTATCATTATATCGGAAAGACATTTTGATTTTGAAGGTCTGAGGTACAGGCAGGAACTATACACTGATTCTAAGTAGAAAACACAATCATCATATAAGCAGAATTATACGAAGCCTGTGCAGCATTTTTTTTTTTTTGGCTAAGGGCAAAATTCCTCAGGTCCCACAAACACCATATTCCGCAGATGTCGACCCTTGAGACTTTTTTTGTCTTTCCAAAAATCAAATCTCACTTTAAAGGGACGCTATTTCAAGACGTACAGGAAATCCAAGAGAATGTAACGATGCGGATGCTCGCTATGCCCAAAAAGAAGTTCCAGGAATGCTTCCATTAATGGAAACAACCTGGATAAATTGTGTGACTTCAGAAGAGGACAGCTTCGAAGGAGGTTAAATCCTGGATTGATATGCGCTTTAGTTTTCTTTTTCTAGTACCAGTCACGATACTTATTAATCAAACCTCGTATGATAGGCCAGAGTTGCCCACGGTGCCTTGGTGTGTCACGTGATGAAATCACGTGTTCTCCAAAAGAGCAAAATTATATTTCAAAATCTGAAAAATACGTTCTGAAATCCGTAGTAACGTTCATACATAATTCTCACCTATAAATGGAGGAGATGTTTTATTTAACTTAGTTGTTAAAGAGTGGGCAAAAAGTACATGAAAACAGTGTCTGAAGTGACCCAAATTAATAAAAAGAGAAATACAATCTTTCTACATTTCAACTTATATATATTTCTACTCACAGATAAATATATATTTTTTCTTAAATTTTCAGATTTATGTATAAAGTGCGTCAAAATATTTTATATGTTGTGAAGTGCATAGTAAACTTTGGATATTTACTGGCAGAGATTATTTTCTGAAATTTAACTATTCAGTCAACATTTTGAGAAAATTGGGTAAGAGTTTAAAACTCTTTTATATGATTCAATGGAAGATCTACGAAATCAAAGTAACGATTTAATTTCTTTCCGTCTGGCTGAACTTATTTTGCAGAGATACGTCTCCTTAAATGTATTTAATTTGGGACAATGTATAAGTTTATCGGAAGGATTGGATCAACAAGTCTTTGTTACTGAACAAAAGGATGATGATTTATTTGTCTTGTGCAAATTATTTGCCTCTTTTAGTCACTAGTTGTTGTGTTTTCCAATCTCGTTTTAACCTTCTGTTCTGTACTTTTATTTATTTGGCCTTTATGTGCTCAGAATGATGAGAACAAAAAAAAAAAAAAAATGAAGGAAAAAAAAAAGAACCCTAATAGATAAGTATGACACTTGACAGTATTTTATATTCTCCGAAAACATTTACCGCCTTTTGTAAATGAGACATCGTGGATAAAAGATCAGGCACCTGTCTCTGGCAGATATAAATATATTTTGTGACGCAATAGGCAATGGCTATAATAAGTGGATCGTCCGAGCTGACAGGCATCGAGAAACAAAAAAAGAAAATTAACAAAAAGAAGGGTGGCCCATAAAAATAATGAAAAAGGAGGAAACCAGAACGGGCGGACGGAAAGAAAGAAAGAAAGAAAGAAAGAAAGAAAGAAAGAAAGAAAGAAAGAAAGAAAGAATGGAAAGGAAAGGAAAAGAGAAAAAAAGAAACCCTTGGTCGAGTGGTAGACCGGTCGGCCAGCAGGCAGGCCCAATAGAGACTGGGGTGTGTGTGTGTGTGATATCAGTGCTGTTGACATAAAAGGAACTAGTCTTTAAGGTAAAAATATAACATTTTTTTTATTTTATTTTACCCGGGAAGCTGACGTGTTGCGGAACCCTGTGTCTTGCTTTGTAGTCACGTGCTGGATTCTGCGTCATCTAACGCGTGGCAGAGCTTGGTCCACAATGGATGTGTTGTCGGATTAGCGTTAAAAAGAAGAGAAATAGGGGTAACGTCTCTCTTTCTCTCTAATCTACATGTACGCACCCACACACACACAGAAGGAGAGAGATATATAGAGAGAAGGTGGGTAATTTTAGAAAAAGAAGAGAAAGAGAAATTTAGCCGAGTGAAATACATTGATTTTGAACGAATTTGAAGCGGTTTCATTTGACAGTGGTCACGTCGTTACACATCTTTATTAAAAAGATAACATAATATGTACAAATATAGCTACGCTTATATCCACGTGTTCAAACTGAACTAAGGATGCAAGACCTGTTTAATAATTGGTGTTCTATCCCAAGTATAAACCAAGATTTCAATTGCAAGTATACTCTCCGCGTTACCCACCTCGACGTGGTGTAATGGTTAAATGAGCTTGTCTCGCTAGAACAGTTACGACTGAGTAGTGAATTTGATTCGAACTGGGTGTCCCATAGTTTCGGCATTGTGCCACAACTAAACTACGCTTAGAAAATCACCATACTCTCCTCTTTATATAAATTGACTAAACAGAGTCTCTGAAACTTTGTTTTCCCCGTTTTGCCAGATCTACCACTGATTTGCTAACGGCCATCACTGAATATGTATATTAATCTCTTGATAATAATGGCGAAACTCGTGTTCTAGATATCTCGAAGACGTTTGCAGGGTTTGGCACGCTGATCTTCTACGTAAGCTCCAGGTATTACTGGACAATTGTTTGATTTAATCCAATCATGAAATGAAGATCGTTTTGACCGAGCTCACTTCCAGATCTTTTCACACAAACGCCGGTGTCTCCTTAAGCTGCATCCGGGGTCCTACGCTGTTTCTGATCTTCATCAATGATCTCCCTGATGTAATCAGTTCGCAAGTAGGCATTTATACCAATAGCACTACCATAGCAAATCCACCACAGCTGTCAAAGTTACCCTAGTTGCTGGTCCTGAAAAGAACATCCAATTTGTGGTTAACTGGGATAGGAAATGTCTCGTAAATTTTAGTGCATCCAAAACGAAATTGCTCTCATTTCATCACCACAGAGAAACTTTCTTAATCGTCATCGCATGGCTGATGCTGGAATCATGGAGAATAACACACTGCACCTCTTGACTTCAGGTTTGATGTGGAACGACTATATCGAATGAATAACCGTATCTACTGCAAGGAAAGTTGGTTCATTGTATCGTGTCAGAAAGTTTTTCTCGTCAGAGTCCATCTTGTACATTTACAAATCTTTTATTCGTCTGTGCATTGGATACTGTTTCCATATCTGGTCTGGCGCTCTTGCTTCTCATCTCGAGATTCTTGACAAAATTCAAAGAAGGATCTGCAATGTAATCGATCCTGACCTGGCATCTCGACTACAGTCACTTTCTCACCGACGTGATGTGGCTTCCCTCTATACTTTTTTGCAAATATTTTCATGGCAACAGCTCTGACGATTTTTTTTAGTGCCAGGTCTACGTGAGTTTAAGTATGCTACTAGATTGGCATTTAGGTCCCACCCTTTTACTGTTGTATTAGTTAAATGTAACCGCCACTTCTACTCCTACAGTTTCTTTTCTCGTACTTTCCGCTTGTGGACTTCTTTTCGTTTCCCTGCTTCCCTGATAAATACAATCTAGAAAAATTTAAATGCAACGTCAATCGCCATCTTCTATCTTCTTGAACCTTGTTCAACTTTTATCCTTTCCTCTGTGCTCCCTATACCCAGTCTTCTCTATCACCCTCGCTCTCTGTAACTCCCTGTGTACTAGTTGCATTTCCGCTTTACTTGGGGTGAAAAGATTAAAAAATATTGCTGAAATAACCATGGTGTACTATCTATCGTATTTAGCGTAACGGGTATCGGGGCGGTAAGTGGAATTGGCAAGCCAAGTTCAAATTCCGGTCTTTTTTTGCACAAATACTCTTGGAAAATGCATGAATTCATTTCTCCTCCCCCACCTCATCCCGAATCTTTGGACTGAATAGCAGGGTTTAGTAGGCTTTCTAGATTTGAATGGGTGTCTGTCTAAGAGAAGTAGATTCAAAACAGCGGAGAAGACAACAGAAGTCATCGCAAATGATAGATTAAAAAAAAAACCAAAAAAAAACCGTGGATAGCTATAACCCCTTAAATCCTGCAGGCATAGGTATTGGACATATTTTACACAAAATATTTTTTCATATCTATCTTCCACTCGTTTTAAAAAGTCATTGGTCACGCTGTAATACGTAAACGGATATTTTTTCCTGAAATTTCGCCCTGTAACTATTTATTAGGTTGGTGCAAAAATAATGACGTAATAATGTCGTTTTTTGACGTATTTTTTAACGTCAAAAAAACGACATCCTTACGTCATTATTTTTGCACCAACCTAATATTTATATGTGAGTGTTTCACAACTGTACTAATTGTTTTTTTTGTGATTGATTTTCTATCCGTAATAACAGCGCACAAAAAGTATTGTAATATCTGGATATTTATTTCTTTTAAGTGCATTTTATAGGCAAGTAAATAAAGCAGATTATTGCTTCATTTGTTTATTTTTTTTTTACAAGTCTTCACTTACTTTCGTATATTAATTATACTAATGTAAGAACGTGCGATATCGCCCTTGATAGTAATACAAACGTTTTTTGTCCAGCATTACCTGCATGTATTCCCTCCGTTGACTAAGTGCACTGGTTGACCTACTGTAACATCCCCCGCGCCTCTCTCAGCTGGTTAAACGTGGGAAATAACCAGTGTGTTGTCATTATGAAAGCCAGGTGTAACTGCAGGTGAGTCGCTGGCGATGAGAATAAAAGTGATTAAATAACGACGAAATAATAAATATCGTTATATTTTTGGATAAATAAATGCATAAAGAAGGCGAAAGAAAATATGACGTCGAGACAAAGGGTTTAGCAAGTACAAAGGGACTAGTAAATGAATTTGCTGGTTAGGTCAATCAGCTGGAAAAAGGGAAAAGTTATATTTTTTGTGGAGAAGTTGGTAACGCGAAAAGAAAAATTGTCGAGATTTTAGTGATTACCAGTTTGAAAGAAACGTTAAAAAAATTACTTAAAATTGCATGTTTAGTATATAAATATTTGTACATAGCATCGACATTTATTTATTTCGAAATAGCTTCTTTTTATGAACTTCATGATTATTTGGCCTGTTTCAGTACATTCAACCTGTTCATATCTATCTATCTATCTATCTATCTATCTATCTATCTATCTATCTATCTATCTATCCAAGTGAATGCTTCGACATCAGAAGCGTGTGTCGGTGGAATACCACTAAGTATTGAACCATCCCACTAATACCTAATAATTATTTTAGCCTTTTTATCGAGAGAAACTAAGCCACACACTGGCAAAATGGATTT